CTCGGAGCCCGTCAGGGCACGGCGGGTCCCGGGCACGGCCGCCCCTCGCGGCTCAGCAGCCCAGGCGGTTGCCGTCGTCCCCCCGCCGTGAGGGCAGCGCGGTGCCTCGGGAGCCGCCCGGTGGGTGCTGTGAGGGGACGGTGAGCAGGGCTCCTGCTGCCTCGGCCCCCGGGGCAGGGGCAGGGCACTGCCAGCCTCTCCAGTGGCGTCAAGCCTCGTAGGATTTTTAAACCCTATAGTTACAGTTCTGGGGGGCTGTGCCAGCCCCGGGGAAGGACAACCGGAGCTGGCCCACTGCTGAGCAGACCGAGGCAGCGGGGAAGAGGTGGCAGCGAGGGGAGCTGGGGGCAGACTCGTGGTCCCTGTGAGGGGTGATGGGGAGGATGGAGCCGGGCAGTTCCCAGCGACAGGAGAACTGAGAGATAATGGGCATGAAGTGAAGAGAGGTTGAGGCTGTGTTGAAGGAGAAGCCATCCCCCATGCTGTGGAGCAGGCTGTCCAGAGGGGCTGTGTCCTGCATCCTTGGGGGTTCACATGACCAGCCTGGATAAAATCCCAAGTAACCAGGACTGAGCTCGGAGCAGACCCAGCTTTGAGCAGGAGGTCAGACCAGAGACCTGCTGAGGTCTCTGCCCACCCTGGGTTTTGCTATGGTCATATTAGCTGGGAGCCACAATTCCCGTTAGAAAGGTAAGTTATCAACGTTGGTGGTTACAGAGGGCAGCACCAAGCTTACCCAGGGTGGGTACCAAAATATTAGATTAATAGTAACGAAAAATAATAATTAAAAAGTACCACCAGGCTACCTTTTCTGAACTTCTTCTTCAGCCCATTCTGTGATAGGTGAAGAGCTGAAGTTAGTTTTGGGGGGGTCTTGGCTTTCTGTCTGCAAAAGGAAGCAGGACTGACTTCACTGCAAGTGGGGGATAAAGATCCTCAGCCCTGAGCCAAAACATCTCAGTAGCAACCAGCCATTAACACCATATGTACACACAGTGTGCCCACTCACCGGGGGAAGCTGGGCTCTGCCCCTGAGCCTTTCCCTTGGCAGTGTCCAACTCCATGCAGGGGTTGGAGACTACTTCCCAGGACCCTCCCTTAGTGTCTCTTTTTCAGTCAATGCTCTGCTGCCCATTGGTGTTTCACTTATCCCGAGGCTTTCCAGGCTCATCTCCTGGCTCCCTTGCTCTGAATTTTGACCGTGGGCAATGCTGTGTTCTGGACCAGGCTTTGTGCATCCTGGGCTTGCACTTTTTTTTTTTTGTACTTTTAGCCAGAGCTTGGGCAGAAGTCTCAGCTTCTGAGGAGCTGCTCTTGGGAGCAGTGGGGATGAACCAGGGAACAGTTAGAGGGGCAGGGACTGCTTCTGTCTTCATACAGGGCTATCCAACGCAGAACCCCTCTCCAGTGCAGGAATTACTGCCCCCCCTTTTTACCTGCTGCACTCACTGCTATCCCAGAATAGTCTCATCTAGATAATAGAGCTGGGGGCAAGACCAGGCCACCAGAGCAGGGAGACAGTGAGTGGTGGGCTGTGGGATGGAGAAGGAGGATCCACCACAGCCATGCCCCTCGGGAGGGACAGCCCAGACACATCACCTGTGTCACAGGGTGGACATGAGACTGCTCTGCCAGTGCTGCTATGTCTCACTGTAGATGGTTGTAACTTCCTGACCAGGTCATCTTCCTCTTCCCTCCTTGCTGCTGCAGTGAAACAGCTCAGCTGTCCTTTTTCCTCCTTCCCCTCTGGGGCTCGATTAAATCCCTGGCCTACCCTGGTTGTTTCTGCACATCTCTTTTTTCCAATCAATGGCTCTCTTGTTTCCTTGTCAGTCTGTTTGCTCCTCATATATTTTAGGAATTTTTTATTTATCTTTCCTTTCCTGCTATTTTTGTTTTGCCTGCTGCTCCACTGCTATTCCTCTGTGACCCGTTTGGCTGTTTACACCCTCCCTATTACAGACGTCTGTATTGTTCAGATCTTCCTCTGCTATTTCTATCTCATTGGAAACCTCTACATTCATGGTCTCTGCAGGCATGGTTTGCTGCCCTCTTCCAAAATTTCACAGTGTTTGAGGAATACAGCAAGATCTTGTTTTCTCTCATGTGCTTCTCTCTGGGGTCTGGATTTCATCCATCCTGAACTGCTGTGGGTGAGGAGTCCTATGACCAGCAGTGGTTCCCTGGCATTAGTTCACAAATCTAGAAGTGCAGGGTTTGCAAAGCTGTTCAGGTTTTCTCCATGGCGACTTTTTGGAGCCAGCTGTTACTCACAGCCACCAGTGCTCACCTAAAAAGTGTTGGTGAAGTGTTGGTGTTGTGTGTCAGGTGCTGCCTGTGCAGAGCACCTGGGCTGGGTCCCAGCCAGCTTTGGTGACAGTTACCTGTGCTGTGCTCCCTGGACTTGCCCCAAGCACAACCAACTCTGGTTTTGGGAGGCAGTTTGAGTGTGAGAGTGAGCCGTGCCTGGGCTGTGGGGAGGGTGAATGACTGACCTGGTGGGTGAGGCTGTGCTGTAACATGCCTTCAGGCTCAAAGAGCTGTGGTAAGAAGGGGCTGCTGCAGGAAGGTCTGTCCTGGCCTTCTTTTTTCCTGGGAAGAGGGGAGCCTTGGGGCAAGCTGGGATGTGGCTGAGGGCAGTTGTTTGTTTGCTGCCTGCTTAAAGAGGAGACAGTGGTGTTTAGACTTTCCAGCTGGAAAGCACTTTGAAGACTCCTTTGACGAAAAGCTGTTGCATTTAGCTGGTTATTTTCAGCCTCTGGGGTTTTTAGTCTTTAGATTGTGACTCTGGGACTCCCTTTGTTTCTTTTGACCCATTCTTGAAGTGACACAGCTCTGTGGTATTGAGGAGAGGATGTGCTTGTGGGGACATGGCTACATGGCTTTGGGAGGTACTTTTCTAGCCTTGGCTCAGGGTCCAAGACCAGAATTCCCACATACAGAGAGAGGAAAACAATGCAGCCCACCATGCTAGTGTGTTAATGAAGAGACTTTGACTGCTACCAACTTTGACTGGCAGAGAGGAGAGTGATTTTGAAAAAAAACTGTCTATTTGATATTTCTTCCTAGGCAGGGGTGGTCAGTTTGACATCCAGGTCACTGACTGTTCCTGTAGGAGAGTCTGGCCGTCTTTTCTGAGATGCTGAACCACCTCTGTGTTTTGCTCTGGACTTCAGAAAGTGCTCAGGAAGGTGTTGGGGCCAGATCTGTGCCATCATTCTCCATGGAAATTCCAGTCGTGTTTAGGAGAGTTACAAACTTTGCACAAACAGTCTCCCTGCTGCTGCTCACATACCACAGGAAATTCTTGGCAATAGGACAGGTCACCGAATAAACTCAGGGGCAAGTGGGGGTCCGGGGCCCTGTGGCCACAGGGACACAGCTGAGGGCAGCAGCACCTGCCTGAGCAAGTGTTCGCTCAGTGCCGGGGCGTGGAGCAGGTTGGGGTCAGTGGGTTGTGGTCAGTGGGTTGTGGTCAGTGGGTTGTGGTCAGTGGGTTGTGGTCAGTGGGTTGTGTCGGGTGGGTTGTGTCGGGTGGGTTGTGTCGGGTGGGTTGTGTTGGGTGGGTTTTATTGAGTGGGTTGTGTTGGGTGGGTTGTGTTGGGTGGGTTGTGTTGGGTGGGTTGAATTTGATGGGTTTTATTGAGTGGGTTCTGTTTGATGGGGTTTATTTGGTGGGTTGGGTTTGATGGGTTATGTTGCATGGGTTGTGTTTGATGGGTTGTGTTGGGTGGGTTGAGTTTGATGGGTTTTATTGAATGGATTATGTTTGATGGGTTTTATTTGGTGGGTTGTGGTGGGTGGGTTGTGTTCAGTGCTCATGTCCCAGGTCAGGGACACAGTTCTAAGAGCTGGGCTGGCACCGGTGTTGGGTCAGCACTGCCCATAGAGGGCCTGTAGCTGGGAGCTGCCACTGGTCTCCGTGCTGACAGCCTGTTTCTGGGCACATCCCCAGCAGGTTGAGGGGAGAACGAGCTCCCACCAGCACAGCCCTGGTCTCCAAGGTGTGGTAGTCTTCACTGTTTGCAGATCTGTAACTCTGCTAGACAGGCTAGGAGAGCTGGGGGTGTTCACCTGGAGAAGAGAAGGCTTCAGAGAGACCTTAGAGTCCCTTCCAGTGTCTAAAGGGCTACAAGAGAGCTGGAGAGGGACTTGGGACAAGGGCCTGGAGGGACAGCACAGGGGGGAATGGTATCCCACTACCAGAGAGCAGTGTTAGATGGGATATTGGGAAGAAATTGTTCCCTGTGAAGGTGGTGAGGCCCTGGCACAGGTTGCCCAGAGAAGCTGTGGCTGCCCCTGGATCCCTGGAAGTGTCCAAGGCCAGGTCGGACGGGGCTTGGAGCAACCTGGGCTAGTGGAAGGTGTCCCTGCCCATGGCAGGGGGTGAGACTGGGTAGTCTTTAAGGTCCCTCCCAACCCAGGCCATTCTGTAATTTTGATTCTGTGATTGTAATACTCAGGCTACTGGATTTTGGTATTATTCTTTTCTGTAGGAAAAAGGAACTTAAATACAAGAACATAACTGGCTTGCAGAGCTCAAAGTTAGACTGGGTTTTATGGTTGCCCACGAAATTCATCTGGGAGTTGTGTAAGCACCCAGCCTTTGCTCTGCATGCTCACTGCAGCTCACTCTTACAGTGCTCTGCCTCTTGGTCCAGCCTAGGGTGGAATTTGGGTTGCTCTGGCAGATGTTAATGTGACACTTCCCTAATTTCACTTTACCAGTGGCCTTTCAGCACCTGTTTGTGCAATATTAAATGTTAACAATTACAGCAG